CCCAGCTTCCACCCTTTACTGACTCCCCAGTCCCCGGGCCTCAGCAGTGGATCTCGTAGGCAATGGGCGGTGGGAACAGGAGCCCGGGCGCAGCGCCCTCGCTAGGGGCGCGGTCTGGAAGGCCTTCTGCAGGCGGCCCCTCAGCAAAGAGGGGCTTGGAGCGGTCGATGACGAACATCTCGTGGCCCCGCTCGTCTCGCAGCTCCTCCAGCTGGGCGAAGGTGCAGGGCCCGTCCGAGTAGTCGTTGACGAAGAGCACGCCCTCGCCAGGCGGCCCCGCCTCCTTTTTCCGCTGGCGCCGCTTGCGGCAGATCATGGCTGCCAGCAGCAGCGCAGTCAGCGTGAGCAGCGCGATAGCCGCCGCGATGGCTGCTTGTGTGGCCAGGCCCAGGGCACGGAAGGCCATGCTGCCCGCCTCGTACAGGGGCTCGTGGCTGACTGGGCCGGCGGCTGGGGGCGGCGGCAGTCGTTGCTGCCGGGACAGGTTGACCAGCAGCTGGAAGGGCACTCGGGCGGCCCCGCCGGCGTTGGAAGCCTCACACTCGTACTTGCCGGCGTGGGCCAGAGTGATGTTGGTGAGGAAGAGCATGCCGCTGCCCGTGTCGGGGGCTCCGTGCCCGCCTAGCCTTAGCACCCCTCCACCTGGGTGGGCCTGGGCCGGCGGCCATTCCTCACGAGGCTGGCTGACTTTCCTCCAGGTGACCAGAGGCTGCGGGTAGCCAGAAGCCTGGCAGGCCACACGCAGGTCCTCACCCAGGTTGGCCGTGACCTCCAGGGGCTCCACGTGCACAGATGGGGGGATGCATATGAGGCTGCTGCCAGAGATGTCCAAGAGGCTCTGGAGGGCCAGGCGTGGGGGCTCTGCACACACAATCTTCTTGTCCCTGGAGCTGAGCAGCCGCTGGCCCCCTTCCTTGATCCAAGCACCCAGCCAGTGCAGGGCACAGTCACAGCGCCAGGGGTTCTCTGGGGGCAGGGCAAGAGTAGTGGTGGGAGGGCTGGAGTCGGCCCAGAGCATGACCTGTGCACCTGGGGGCTAGTTGGCCAGGTCAGACCGCTCTGCCCCACTTTCTCTCTCCTCCCACACCCTCCACATGGGCTCCTGCTCAGACCCAGAATTCCTTGAGGTGTGGGCAAGCCCCTCACCTCCATTTGACTAGTACCCCTCCCAGACCACTCTCCAATGGTCTTTGGAAGACCACTCTCTTGCTCTCCGGACATTCCTGGTTCCCCAGATCTCCCTGTTGGAAGACAGATGAGGCTTCCTACTCCCATCAAGAGTTCCAATCTGGGAGACCCGTAGGGCCAGTACACTCCCCTATGGGGTTGCTCTGGGTCAGCACCCACTCCAGGGCGGAGAGTCAGAGAGCGCCCCTGAGTCCTATTCTTAGGATAGAGAGAGCCCACTACGGAAACCTTGCCAATCATGACCCCTTGGCGTAGGCTGTCACTATCTTTCTAGTTGGGATGTGCCTGCTCTCAGCCCCAAAGTTGGCAGTCTCTAAACTTCAGCCAGCCTTAGCCTTGCCATTTCCTGAGCTCTGTCCCACAGCTCCCAAAATTGTGGTGTGATCCTCCTGAACCCAGACTCTGCCTCCCAGTTGCACACTTGGGGCCCCACATGGGGAAGGTACCTGTGAGGCGCAGGACCTGCAGGCTGACCAGGGGCTGCAAGGCCTCGTGGCTAATGGTGCCCAGCCGGTTCCTGCTGAGGTCCAGCAGGGCGAGTGAGGCCAGCCCTACCAGGGCCTGGCCTTCCAGCAGCTCAATGCTGTTTTCTTGCAGGTGCAGCTCCTGCAGACGCTAGAGGGGAGACAATTGCGTCGGGTGGCTGTGGCTGGGATGGTGTGGTGGGCTGAACCTTTGCTGAGAGGGAGGCTCTTTAAGTCTTCCCGGAGGGGTCTCTCTAGAGGTGCAGGGTGGGTGGTGCTCAGATCTCACGGGAGGGAGAGGGAGTGTCCCTCATTCACCTCTGGCCAGGGCTGGGTTGGGGACTGGGTTGGGCTGTGGCAGCGCGACCGGCTCACCAGCAGGTGCAGGAAGGTGAAATCTAGCAGGTGCACCAGCTGGTTGCCGGCCAGGTAGAGCACGCGCAGCTGTGCCAGGCCAGTGAAGGCCCCAGCGCGCAGGCCCCGCAGCCGGTTGCTGGTGAGCGCGAGCTCCAGCAGGCGCGGCTGCGCGCGGAAGGTGCCGGGTTCCAGAGCACGCAGACTGTTGTTGTGCAAGTAGAGTCGGCGCAGTGCCGGGAGAGGGGCCAGGGCGCCCAGCTCCAGGCGCGCGATGCTGTTGTCCTGCAGGAAGAGCGTCTGTGGGCCAGGAAGGGTGCGTCACGCGCTGTGGGCTCGCCTTCACCTCCAGGGCAGCCCGCCCGCGCCCCCTTCCCAAGACCAGAGCTTATCGGGCAGCGTCCCTGTCACCCCGCGCGGCGCCCACCTGTGTGCCCGGCGGGATTCCGGGCGGGACGGCTTGCAGTCGCAGGGCGCCACACTCCACCGTGGCGCTGTAGCAGCGACAGGAGGCAGGGCAGGCCGCCGCGCGCAGGGGGAGCCCGAGGAGCGGAGCGGGCAGCAGTAGCAGCAGCAGCAGCAACGCAGGCTCCCCAGGGGCCATCTCCCGCGGGACCCACCGTGGACCACGGAGCTGAGGCCGCCGGGAGCGGGGCCCTCCTGAAACACAGTGAGCGCCGGTGGGGCTGCTGGTGCCAAAGTCACAGAGCAGTTTAAGATATCAGCTGAGGTCTTTAACACAAGTATGTCCAGTCGTCACTGGCACATCACTTTTGGAGTAGGGGTTCCTGGTCTGTCTTGTTCTCAGATGTAGACGGGCGGGCGTGAGGGATGGGGGCACCCCAGGGCCGTAGCTGAATCCTGCCTTACCCAGTTTTCTGCTCATGCTGTGACAGCCCCTTCCTACCCCCTGGCAAAAATCTCATCTCAGCATGACACCCCTGAATCTAGACAGGGGTGGGCTGTGTGCACACCCATTACCCAGGTGGAGCAGGGAGGAGTGGAAGCTAGGCAGGCAGATTGTGTTCACATGGACATCACATCTGTGGGTCCAGGGCTGAGGTCCCTAGATGTCTTCAGGACCAGACCCACCAAGGCAGTGTCCCTCCTACTGGGATATGAGCAGGGCTAGCTTTAGGAGCCAGGGGCCAAAGGATGCTCCTCCCTCCCAGGGGGTGGAGTGGCTTAGCAGGAGTGGTGGCTTTTCCTCAGGAAAGGGGGCTTGGGGACCGAGGAGAGGGAAGGAAATCAAAGGGCCGTTAGTCCACAGGTGTTGGGCCCCTGGGAGGGCTGAGTGTGGGAAGGGTTCTGGGCCACCAGCAGGGTTTCTAGGGCAGGGACCTCAAGGACTGGGTAGGGCTGTGTGCCTCGCTCAGCAATCATGACCCTAGGGAATTGGAAGGTCAGGGTCTAGTTCCCAACCTTAAGTGTTTCCAAGGTGGGGACCCAGCTAAAAAGTCCAGTCCTTCTGGGCCAGGGGCAGCAGGGCAAGGGTGCACTGCCTCACAGTCTCTGGTCCCATCTCGTAGCCTTAGGCTTCTGCCTATTCAGTGGTCTCCCTACAGACTGTGAGCCAAAAAGGAACATGCGCCTGGCCTTGCTCGCCTCTGTTTTTCTCTAAACTGTGAGCCCAGGGATCGTGCAGAATAACTCGAGAGGAGGTGTGGACAAGCAAGCTTTAATGGAAGCACTCCGGCCCAGGCAGAAGTGGTACCCAGGAGAGTCCAGGATATGTGTGGACTCCAAGAAGATGGGAGCATTCGCTAGGCTCCTGGATTCCACATCCCCAAGTACAAAGGCTGGTCACTGGGCTCCAGGCCTTGCTTGAGACTTCTGTGTCAGGCCTGGGGCAGAGAACCTGCTGGCTGCCACCACCTCCCAAGGCTGGGATGCTGCTGCTCACAGAAACCCTGGCATGCAGGTCTGTGCAGAGGCAGGCCCTACAGGGAAGAGGAGAGGCCATCCCACAGATCCTGGACCCTGGAGGCAAGCCTCTAACCCAGTGGGTCATGGCACCCATCTGTGCATGGGGGTGGGGACACAGGGCAGCTTTGCACCGGCCTTGGATGCATTTCGAGTCTTCGTCGGGGTTTCTTGGGGAGCTCGCTGCATTGCTGCAGCACTGCTCACTGCCCTGCCCTTTGGATTCATGGGGCTACCCTTGTCCACCCCAGGGTGTGGTTTCCGACTCTCCCAACCCCCGCCAGGAA